TGTGATATAATTTTGTAATCAATGGTCTTGTTTCAGATAATAAACAAATTGTATTCTGAATGGTTGAGTAACTCCTGATACAAAAGCTAACTACCTAACAACTTCTAATCTGAGGGTATCAAATTGATATAAATGGAAATAACAATTTGGAGATTGCATGGATACAAGATAGGTTTGCTTTGTTTAGGTTGTTATTCAGTTTTCAGGAAGAGAGCCAATAAGAAATACTGTCATACGTTTAAAGAGATACTTTCTAAGAACCCAAACCAGGAGCTGTGTATTAGGAAATCCAATGGTGTGTGTGTGTGTGTGTGTGTGTGTGTGTGTGTGTGTGTGTGTGTGTGTGTGTGTGTGTGCGCGCGCGCGCGCGTGTGCCAGGCATGGGGCTTGAACTCAGGGCCTAAGCACTGTTCTTGAGTTTATTTAGTCAAGACTAGTGCTCTACCACTTGAGCCACAGCTCTACTTCTGGCTTTCTGATGATTGATTGAAAATACAAGTCTCTGGGGGCTGGGAAGGTGGCCCAGTGGTAGAGTGTTTGCCTTGCATGCATGAAGCCCTGGGTTTGATTCCTCGGCACCACATAAACAGAAAAAGCCGGAAGTGGCACTGTGGCTCAACTGGTAGAGTGCTAGCCTTGAGCTGAAGAGCTGAGGGACAGAACCCAGGCCCAGAGTTCAAGCCCAGCAAAAAAGAAAGAAAGGAAGAAAGAAAGAAAGAAAAAAAGAAAGAAAGAAAAAAGAAAAAAAAAGAGTCTTTGGGACTTGCCTGGGTTAACTTCAAACCTTGACCATCAGATGTCACCTCCTGAGTAGCTAGGATTACAGGTGTGAAGCACCAGCACCTAGCTCTAAAGGGTCTTTAAATAGGTAGCTAGTAAATACGTAATTAGTCCTCCTGACATTGAAATCTATTTTATCATTAATTTATGACAAAATATACTGTGGTCCATAGAAAGTGGAATCTTTGTATGGAAGTCTCCTACTATGTAGAATGTTATTTTTTGACATTGAAATTCTGTATGGGACTATGTAAAATATTTATTACCTGGCAGCTAAATCTGTAAAAATGCAATAATTTTATTCAATGTTTTTCTCTTACAGATGTTTTCCAGGAGAAGCGCCAAGGGACTTGGTTATGTGCAACAGCAGCCTGGATTGTATAAATCACTGGTGAAGCTCAACACTTAACCTTTTGTATTTCATAATCATAAGTTATTCAACTTTCAGTAAGCTCTCTCTTGACTGTTACTTTGGATGAAGTGTAATGGCAATGTAAAATGTTAGCTACCTCTAGTTGGTTTGATTTGAGATCTTCTCTTTAATTATGCATTATAAACCAAAAATACAAATAAAAAGAAGCTTCTGAATTTGATATGCTAACTTAGACTGTAAGTCTCCTGAACTAAAAGTTACAAACTGCCTACAGTGTATTGATACTTATACTATGACTTTGACCACAAGACTTTAAATATTAACTTTTTAATTTACTAACTACCACCTATCAAGTAAGCTTATTAATCTAAATTTTCATGCTTTGTAAAAGAAGAGACTTTTCCAGGAACTTCTCTAAGAACTTAATTAGTACTTCTCCAAATTAAGAGTTTTATAATGTTACAATAAAATGAAAATGAAATAAGAAGAGGAAACCTTCAAAAGAAATGACTTCAAATATCGTAATAGTTGTCATTTCTTTAAAAAATTAATAAGAATAACTAGGCAAAATTCTTAGAATTTTTTTGGCTTGATGTGATGGTTTGATACATTCATAGATTGCAGAAAGATTAAATAAAACTAAATAATATGTGTAGCTCCTTACCTAGGGATCACATTTTTTTGTGATGAGCATGTTTAAAAATCTAACCTTTTGGAAATTTTGAAATATGTGTTATATTGTTAACAATTACCATAGTGGGTAAGAAATCACTAAAACTTATCCCTCTTAACTAAAACTTTATATCCTTTACCAAGTTTTGTCATCTTACATTACTTAATAGTTAAAATTTGAATAAAAATTTACAAATTTTATTTTATCATTGTAATGTTTAGTTTGCTAAAATAGTATGTGAATCCAAGTGCAAATAGCATACTCAGAAAAATCAAGCAACAAGAGAAAAAAAATTAGATTGGTTTCGAGTATTTCTACTAGAAGTTCATGCTTCGACTGCTTTATCATTCTAAACAATAAACATTCAAAATTACTTAATATTTGTGTTTAAATTATCATTATTTTATTGAGATCCCTATCTTTCCTAGATAACATATATTCTTAAATTAATTCTCTTGGAGTTATTCCTGATGATATTTAAGATTCATTCCAATACCCTGATCAATTCTCATTTCTGGATTTGAGAAATACTTTTATATCTAGACTAAAAATTACAGGTTAGATAAAAAGTAATCAACAGAATATTCTTCAATTAAATTGTTTTCAAAGGAAGTGATACAATCTCCATAATAATAGGTTAACATGTGCAATGCTCCTGTTGAACTACACGTAAGTTGGGGAAAACATTTTTATATTATGCTGATGCTATAATAAATGGGTTCAAAGAATACTAGTGGGTTGCAACTAACAGCATTTTCGTTTATATTAAAGTTAAGGTTGATGGTGCTGGCTATTTTTGCATCCTTTCAGTGAATTAAAATTAGAACAATGTGATTTGCTCCTTCAATTTAAATTGCTTTAGTTTTGCTAAGAATGGAGCAAATCTAAATGATTTTACCCTGATGTCAACAATAGGTTCACAGGATCTCTGTTTCTTTGCGCTCTCTCTCTCTCTCTCTCTCTCTCTCTCTCTCTCTCTCTCTTCCTCTTTTAAAGGAAAATATAGTTTTCTTACTCCTACAGAAGTATCAGATTCTTACAGCATCCATGGCACTTGTCAGCATTCAGTGGTCAGACACCACTACATATCCTCCAAATGATGTGGCCCAGTGAAGCTGGCAGGTATCATCACAGAGCCAGGCAGCCTGGTATCTCTGACATCCACCAGGACAGAGCCAGCAGGCCCCAGCTGATGTGCTGAATCCAGAGGAGGTGGGAATAGATTTTGCAGTTTTCAAGTCAACTCTCTTAACACTGAGTCCTCAACATACTTACATATAAAAGTATGTTGAGAGCTCCAGTAATTATTTATTAGATGGAATTGACCAAGCTTGTCTGGCAAAATTACTCTTAGGACAAATGAAAGCTGAATTCTGTCATCCCTTTGGGTTTCTGAGTTTATTCTAGATTATATATATTTATATGTATATATATGCACAAAAATATATGTTATGTTTAGCATAGTGACATTTATGATTGTAACAGTTACAATTCTTAACTGATGTGCTATGTGAAATATTATCTATATGCCATTTAAATATGACAAAAATTAAAATCAGAGTGTTAATTATAATTCCCATTGGTATCATAACATTGGCTTATCACACTGAATTTCTTATTTTGATCTTTGGATACATGAAAGAAAACTCTTACAAAATAAAAACACATTTTCTGAGCTGTCCCTTGAACTCCTGGGCTCTGGGTTCGAGCATCAGGGGTTTGGAGTCTTACTTCTGCTATTGCTGCATTGTTTTGGGCACCATAATACTTTAGCTGATCTACTACAAATGTGAGAGGGGGAAAAATCAGCTTACAGGATTCCATGTTCAAGATTGCTTAAGCTTCCCTGTTGACCTCACCTTAGTGCTACCTAAAGAACTGGAGGGACTATCTTCCATTTCTTAAAACTTGAGTTACCTAGTTCTGGTAGAAACATGGCATTTAATGCCACAAGGCTGCACAGACTGTACTCTATCCTTTCCACAGCATTCTGCATGGGGAAAACCCGCATGGGCAGATTTTCAGACTAGTCTACTTTTCCTAATATAACACTTTGGTGGTTTAGACTGGAGTAGGCTGGCATCTGGAACCATGATGTTTTGTCAGGAGAAACTGAAAGGATACTGTTTCCCTTTTCTAAAAAGAGAAAGAACCCTTTGCTAGGGCTCATTAAAAAAAAAAAAAGGTTTAAAAATGTAACCAATAAAATAGGCTTGCCAATTCCTACAGCTTTCACATCTCAGTAGCATTTTTAAAGGCATCATTTTTCTCTCCCTTTTGACTGAAATCCATAGCAAGACCAGCACCAACAGCTTTCTAACTTCTCCATAGACAGGCATACAAACCAACTGAAGTTACAGGACTCTACTCCCTCTCCTTCCCAACTCCTGTTTTCAACCACATTCTTCTTTAAGATGAAAGTCCCTCCACTCCATCATAGTCACTCCATCACCCTGAAAGCATTTGCTTTGCTCTTTATTTTTTTTTAAAGTTTAATAAAAGGCTTCTCACATCATAAAAAAAAAAGTTTAGTTGCCAAAACATGATGATAGTATTTTCAACAGCTACCCGAATGGGCAAATCATTGTGGAGTTCAAATCCGGGGGTGGGGGAGGTGGTGGCTGATCTCAAGCACAAAAGTGAAGACAAAACAAAACAAAAACCGACTTGTCCATAAGATAGAACAAGTATGCGAGCTCTCCTCTGTCAGCAGTGTCTGGACACTTCTGCCAGCCCAGGGCAGGAAAGAGGAAGGGGTGGAGGTCTTGCCACCAAATCCTAGGTGGCTAAGACCTACCCTCTTGGAGGGTTGGAAGGAGGGCTAGCCTAGAAGGAATCAAAACTGCACTTCTAACTGTCCAGGCCTTTGGCCCCACCTGCCTGTCAATTTCAGCCCTAGTCCACAATTCTTAGGTTTCTCTACTCTGGGGATTTGGCGAGCCTGGGGCATTGAAGCTAGCTAGCAAGGATGCTATCAGGCCAGCTCCTTACTGACCTTCCAGGGCCTCTTGAGATGAACTTTGGCCACCTCATCTGGATTGTTTTTATTTGTTTCCAATCTGCTGAAGCCTCCTGCCCAGCCTAACCTTTTCTCCCCTTTCCCCCGCCTCCCCTTCCTTCGGCCTCTCCAGCTCCCCCCCCCTTCATCTCCCCCCCCCCTTTGTTGTCTCCTAC